GTGTAAAAAAGTATAAAGATGATATTGCAATTACTTAGTGATTTTAAAACTTAATGAGAAGAAATTTTTTTACTCATAAAAATACTGACATGTCGCTTTGTTTGATAAGTGGAACTTGCTAAATGAAATTACATTATCAAACAACTGTATGACGATCTCAACATCAAATATCCTGTCGCATCATACCAGTAGACGAAATCAATTACCCAGATAAAGAAATCTTTAGTCGGTTAGCAATTTTGGTTCAAGAAGTAATGACATAATGACAGCAAGAAAATTGTGTTCCAACAGAGAGCCATGATAAAAAAGTCTGGAAAAGTTAACCCAAGACGTTGGTGACACAAATAACGAATATGGTTGACCACATTGCTTTGTCCAGAAACACGATTGTGCGTCGAATAGATGATATAACCAATGCTAAGCTTTCTTCGGAATTTTTTTCAAGGCGCCAAAAAATGTTGCTTTTTCATAAATCCGTTTTACATTTCTCTCTAAGAAGTTAACTGTTTTCAATCTGAAATCTGTACCTACAAAAACATATTTAGTCCAGTCGTTAGATATTTAACCTCTAAAAATCAAACGAACGATCTGAATTTTGCTAAGAATGTCAGTTTTGGGACCCCAAAAAAGATGCCAAAAATTTTACCACTCTTACCCCCGGCTTCACCCTAAAACCCCCCTCGTAGTGGGGAAAACGAAAAAAATTTATTTACCAAGAATCTGCACGCCGTAGAAAAAAAAAATTGTTAGCACTTTTTATGTTGTTTTTTCAAAAAATTCGATATCTTTTGATCAGAGGATAACATCGAAAAAAAATCAAAATGCGTTTTAAAGGTGAAGAGTCCAATTTTGTATTTTGTCGCAAGTGAGTTTCTATAAACCTGTTCAATAAATAAACTTTGCGCGATTTTTGCCATTTTTTCCGATTCTCATGAGATCAATAAAATTTATCACTTTTAGGGTTTAGGGGGAAGTCCGGGGGTACGAGTGGCAAACTTTTTTGAGTCCCAAAATTGACATTCTTAGCAAAATCCAGCTTGTTCGTATGATTTTTAGAGGTTCAGTTGCATTTTCGTTTCTGGCGACTGGAGCAATTGTACTAAAATATAAAAACAGATAAAAAAGGAAACAAGTTTCATTTACAAGTGATTCAAACTATATTGAATTTTGGAAAATTCTACCAAACAGTAATTTCCCAAATTTAAATGATTTGATTGTCCATTGGTCTCATTCACAAAAGGGACAATATTCATTGCATGCGTTTAGACAAAAATGAGATTAATCGATTCAATAAATTTCCTCGTTCAATTCGAAAGTGAATGTATCTCAATGTTTCTTATTTTGAAGTATAACATATGTATGTTATTTTTGTTCTTGTTTGTAAACAAAAGATTGGACGTAAGCTCTAACAAAATTGAAAGTAGGGCGGACACAGGCCTAAATACTTTTAAATACCGAATAAAAATTAATTCAATAAATTAAATTAAAACAATAAGACCGACCAGAAAATATTTGCAGAATTTTTTATTCAGAAAATAAGGTTTTGGCGGTCAAGACCAGTAAATGGACGTTAAGGACAGGCAAAAGCTTTTTGGATACTCTTGAAGAGTTATTCTATCGGATAAAAAAATAAAAAAAAACTAAAATCCTACCCCCTCCCCTCTTAATGTGATTGTATTAGATAGCTCTTGAAAATGTATAAAATAAATGAAAAATACGCTTTAAGATGCTATAGTTTTTGCGTACAAACGGCGCTTCATATGAAAGAAAAAGAAAGATTTTTGTCTCAAGTTAAACGAAGAATTCAAAAATGATTTTTAATTTAAAATATCTCAGTGGCGTATAATTTTTTTCTTTATTACCTGTATGCGTGCCAATGATGAATTTTAAATTCCTAATTGTATGAAAAAAAAAACTAGCAATAACTACCTCTTAAAACCCACCAAATTTCATTTACATATTATTATCTCAATCAAGTTTCAGAGCAATAAAAAAATCGTCAATTCCTAAGAAAAATGTCTATATATCGGAAAACAAAGCATTCGCGGACATATGTTTAGCAAACTTTTGTCATTTTTAGCACGAAAAACCACTCTCTAAAGTTTGGTGCACTTATTTATTAAAATCTTGTGTACTATACAAATATGTATTATTCAAATGTACTAAAAAACAACACATTGAACCTCTGTAACTCAGAAAAAATTGATTTCTGAGTCTTGGGATAACAGGAATTTTTGATCAGCATGACCAAACTACCTCTGCAAAGTTTCAGCCAATAAATATGAGACCTTTGGCTGTTTAGCGTTATTCAGAAGCTGTTTTTGAGTATTAGTTCTTCTTAAGACCTCTTTTTTTATAATGTGGTTGACCCATGGAATTTTAAGAAACCTTCTGAGGCATCACATCTCGAACGCTTCAATACGGTTTAGCCATATTACTTTTAAGTGACCAGGTCTCGCTAACGTAAATTATTATTGGCCATATGTAGCATTTTAGGACGCGAATATGAAGACCCAAAGGAGTTCCGCACTGTAAAGAGGTAGTTGCTGAATTTGGTAAAATTATTTCTAGCTATTGCTACTTGTATCTTCACTTCTTTGCCGCAGTCCCATTTACTATTTAAGTTATAAACGACCTATGATATAAATATACCTATCATTTAACATAAATAGTGAAATTGTTTGAATTCTATATACATTGTTGTTATGCAGTTATGCAGTTAGCGAACAAAGAAACAAACACGTTTCTCCCGTATATCATATATCATGACAACTGAGTTTCTTCTTTATGACTTTTTTTACATTTAGTTCAGTCTATCTGTGAAAAAAACATGATGTTACATAAAAATCTTATAAAGATATTTAAAAGTTCGTGAAGAACATAGCTGATTTTGCTTAATTTTTTTTAAATTCCTAAACAACGAAAGACATTTTTCGCCTATAATAAATACTTTCACCTTTACTATAAGAAATTTTCAAATAAAAATTTGTAGATCTTAATATTTTTATTGATCTTAAGAGATTCTAAATTTAACAATCCGTAAACACGTGACCGAGATGCCGTGATTTTATTAAAATTCTTATTAAAAAAACCGTTTAAAAAGGGGCTGGGTTTTAGCTTATAAACATTTATAATAACTTTGATATTTTTTGTCACGCGTTTGTAAATAAACTCCACTAAAAAGCTGCTTAAAAAAACACAATTAAAAAAAAGAACCGTTTATGATGAATTGAAACCATGATAGCATTTTTTTTAAATCATATTTTCATTATGTAATAACATTAAGAGCTGAACATTGAACAGATTATAATTGAAGATCTAGATTTTATGATCCAATTTATAGATGGCATATACAGAGAAGACGTAAAAAATTATGACCCGCAAAACCTTCCTTTTTTTGGTTAAATTGGGATTAGCTCGAGTACGAACTGTACTATTTTCACTTCCCGGAAGTTATTGAATTTTACTAATGTTTGTTTAGAAATAATAATATTTCAGTATAGTATTTATATAAATACATAATATTAATTATAAATTAATACTTCAAATATGTTTATTTAAATTAAAATATAAAAGGACTTAATTTTTAAAGAGTGTTTACACGCTCTGAATAAATGGTTTATAAATACATTTTGAAACCAATCATTTTTATACTTTATACGAAGAATTTTTTCTGTTTTTTAAACTATTAAATTCAATAAAAAAATTAAATTTATTTTGTTAATTTATAATAATAATTATATATTTATATAATTAATATACATTAATGAATAAAATTGAAAGAATTCTTACGAAATAATAGTTATATTCAACTTTTTAAGGAAAAATTTAATGATTTGATTTTTCCGGGAGATGAAGTACGTGGGTTGGTTGATGTTTGATGAATCAGTGGACTCAAATTTATCCACCACACTGTAAAGAGTTCTCTGGGTAGGATGATTATAGCGAACGTAAAATGGAATAGCGCCGCGGAACGTTGCCCTAACAGAACACCCATTTTGATGAAACAATTTTATCATTGGCACATCTTGTTGTACATCCCAAGATGGACAGGACAACTGGCAAGATCACAGCAGAACAACCCTCCTATAAGAATCCTTATGTCACAACATGTGGGAAGTAGAAGTAGGGGTAGGCCAAAACTCAGATGGAGGGATGGTGTAGATGAGGATGGTAGAAAAATAGGCACAGCAAACTGGCAACAGTTGGCAATGGATAGAACTGACTGGCGTAATAGACTTGGGAAGGTTGAGACTCTTTTATAGGGCTGTAGCACCAACGATGATGATGATGATCTTGTTGTACGCTATATCCATGGTAAGTTGAAAAAAGAGACTGAATGATTGAGAGTCAATTTGACAGAGGTAGTTTCAGCAATATGGCCGCTACCAGCTGTCGAAAGTTCAGAAGTTCTTATTGGAGAACCCAAATGTACGCAAACTAAACTAAAGTTCTGATTTAAATTAACAGACTAACAAAGATCTCCTGGCTTTTAGGTTTGATATTTATATTTAATGTTTATGTTTATCCTTACCAGTAATATTCAATGGATTCTTTTATGACAATAAATTAAATACCCATTGCACAAGTTTACGTAGGATTGACAAAACGAAAGTTTTTTGATGAACCTTATATTGATTATAACTATCAAAACAAGTACATATATTAAACCTAAATGCAATTTTTACGAAAAACGTATTTTTGTTAAACACAATAATTGTAGCTAAATTAAATTTGGTAAAGTGTTATATGACTTGTCGAAAAAAAAAAATGGTAATAAATTATTAAATTCACACTTTCCCATATTGAAACCTTTTTCACAAATGTTTGCATTATACAGTATAATTTAACAGACAGACCAGAAGCATAATTAAATTAAGAAAATGATTACATTGTTGTAACCTCTTTACGAAAATTATAAAAAAACAGTTTGTTAGTATTGTATTGTAAGTACACATATTGTTACAGTAAAATTGTTTTGTATATTTTTCTTGTTTCAGGCCCTAGCCGTCGAGTAGCGCCTTCCATCACGCTGCCAGTCACCCTGGAGGACCCTGCCACCAATTGGAAGGGACCGCCGCCCGGCTCGGAACCCCAGAGTTTCGCTCAAGGGCCAGCCAACTCGTTTTCAGGGCCACCGGCTGGCTTCCAAGGACCCTCGCCTTTCCAAGGCCCACCGGCGGGGGCTGGGTCGCCAGCCGGTGCACCTCCTTACCAGGGGGGTCCTCCACCGGGTTCAACTACACCCCAATATACCGCCTCACCAGCTCCATCGGGTTCTTCGACCCCTGGACCTGGTCCTCCCCCAAACGCGGGTTTCCCACCTCCTAACAGTGCCGGTCCTCCCTATAATGGCCCCGGACCGGGCCCTTTTGGCTCCCCGTCGGCGGGGGGGCCACCGTTCGGCCGTCCCGGGTCATCAGGACCTCCGTTTGTTGGTGGCCCGGGACCGACAGGTAATCACTTTCAACATTTCGGTCCCGGTCCTGGATTCGGTATGCCACCGGGGTCACCATTCGGGCCTGGTCCAGGACACCCCATGTCGGGACCCATGGAGCCGGCTCATGGAATGATGTCCAGGCAGATGGGTGGACCTATTCCTGTTGAACAAGGGTAAGTTTTTGTTTTGTTTTCTTCCTACAAAGTTTGTTTGCATTTGAAACGTTGAATTGTCAAATGGGATATGTGCCTAAATTTTATTATAGAGATAAGTAATTAAGAAAAACTTATAAAGTGACTTGAGTGTTAGAATACAATTTTTGAGTCAATTGTCTGATATTAATGGCTTTTCTGCCGGAGAATAGAATTAATATGGCCCTTACTACATTCCCTATCGCAGAACATTTCAAATTTATCTGGTTAGCCTATATTTTTTCAAGTTTCTTTTTGGAAACAAGTTTGGTGTTTATTTTTGTGTAGGAGACTGCAAACGTTTTTGCGAAAGTCTTCTTACATACACGATTAAATGTATTGTTAATATTGCTGATTGTAATCTGCCTTTTACTTACTTACAAGTGAAGAATGACCATCAAACAGATACATTAAATTTTGTATTATCAACATAAAACTTGTTACAACGGGATCTGCCATCTTTCATGCTCAAACTTCTCGTGCTGATGCTTGCTTTCCGGGTTTCGAAATACCTTTCCGCGTTTTGTAGGCTTTTCCAGACTCTCAATATAATTTGTATCTTTGTGTGTACAAACTGGCTAATTTTGCCCATTTTTACGTACTAAATAAAAATACCTCTATATTTGAGGAGGTATTTTGGGTTGACATTCACTCACAGACGGAAGACGAATGACACTTACAACCTTTAAAAAGAAATGACCTGCGAACATGCCAGGGGCGCCATTTGTTAAAATAACCTGAAATCTTAACAAATTCGGTATGAGCATATTTTTTTTTCTTGGGTTATGCAGCAGGGCATGTAAGTCGTTTCTAGAACAAAAACTGAAAATCCAAAAAAATGGCACATACCCTATTTAAATAAATACGTAATACAAAAAAATTTAAATTACCGTGGATTCTGACTTTAATCAGGCATAATATGCAATGAATATACAGCTAAGAGTAGACATTGTTGACAATGATGTTTGTATTTTTAAAAAACTGAAACAATTGATTTATGAATTGGTGCTAATGTAATATGGGATATTAAAAAACACGGGATGTGGCACCCCGGGAGTGACCGACAAGAGGAAGTGTAGCTTTCTTATCGTCTACGCACTGATCGATGAATTTTAATTTTAATTAATTTATTTTATTTTAATTTTATTCATTTTATTTTATATTATTTTATTTAAATTAAATTTACTTTATTTTAATTTTATTGTAGTTTATTTTTTCAATTTTATTTATTATTTTATTTTGTGGGACGTTTACTACTGCGTAATATGTGGTCGCGCGATCTTTCGTTGCATTGCGTTCCTTTTGTTTTTATTTTTTGCTCCTCTGTGCGATCCATTGCATCAATCAATGTATTCCGTCCGTAGTCCGCGATAAGAAAGCTATGCTTCCAAAAATGTACACGTACTAAATTATATTCTAAATTAAAAAATCAAACCTTACAAATAAAATTCAAAACATCAAACAAATCTTCATATTCTAACATCACAAATGAAATAGCCTTACAATGTGTCGAACAGAGGGTGTGTAATTATTAGAGGGTATAAAATTCTGTCTTAGCTGCACGTTTGTTCAAAATGAAAACGAATACTACTCTCACATTTCTGTGGCAGCCATAGATACACCAATTTCAGCAACAATTAGCAACTTAGCTATGCATGTCTTAAAAACATCTGTTATAATAAATTTAACTACAACTTACCATTCTACATACATATCTACTAATGTTTCATAAAACACTGTTCATAAAACAGTTTTCATAAAAAAATAAGATTTACTTACTCATGAAATAGGCAATAACAACATAATTAGGTTTCTTGACTTGACCTTTGCAATACAACAACAACCAACGCTGAATCACTAAAAGCTTATTAACAAAATGGGTTTTGGTGTGGAAGATATTTAAATTTTAACACCAAAGCACCTATATCATACAAAAGAAGTGTTGTACTTAGTCTATCGGAAAGTTGTTGTGTTTAGTTGTTTTCTACCCACCTTAACTTAACAATACTGGTATTAAAATAAGAAGATTTGCCATTAAAAATCCTTTCAACAATCCTAAAATCAATAACTTATAAAACACTATCTCAAACAATAACAACATTAATTGCATCAATACACATAAGAACTTTATATCATTGCCATACGTTGGTTTTTCCAAATAAATATTGTCACTCATCATACATTGGACAGAAATATGTACATAGGTATTCGCTACACAGTCTACAACAGCGATTTCCTACTGCCCCATACCTCGTCTGGGAATATCCTGCTTTACGCTGAGGACACGGCCTTGCTGTGCTCAGGTCAAGCTAGGGCGAACTATATAGAACGGTCTGTATTGGACAAGGCACAAGCATAACTCGACCTTATAGTCGAGTGGTGCAAAAAATGGAGAGTAACTCTAAATCCAACAAAAACACAACTAATTCTATTCAGAAAACCAAAAAGTTCTCACCCAGGGCTTGAACAGGAAAACCACATACTGCTCAGTGGAGAGAAGCTCAATCTCAAACCGTCAGTGTCCTACTTGTGTGCCGAATTTTCAAAGACACTCAATTATAACGCTGATTTACCAAACACCGTAAACAGAGTGTTTCGTAAGTCAGTATGATAAGACCAATGGTCTAATACAAAGCGAAAATCTACACTTTACTAAACAAAAAACACAATCAAGTCCTGGGTAGGATCATGTGTAAAAAACGTGATTATCCGTCAGCAATAATTCACCATCTAGTAAACGTAGACTCTGTCCATAATAGGATACTTAGCCTAAGCAACAGTTACTTTCTCCCCATCATAAATTGCTTGAACAACAGAGCAAAGGAGGTTCTCAACAAGACATGCCCATTCCCGCATTCTCAGCTTCTAAAAATAGCGGGCGCCAAACTTACTTGTGAATACTGGATATCCTAGAAACAATCCCACTAAAATATCGCAGGTAATAGCCTGCATTTGCTAAAAATGCTGATTTATGAGCCGTTCCTAACAACACTTAAGCTTGTATAAGTAGTAACTGCATGAAAATACAATGTATTTTCATGCAATAAAATAATAACTTCACTGAACTAAACAAAATTGTAACTTAACGGCAGCATAACAATATCCATCTGAGCAAGTACTATGAGCTAACCATATACAAAAACCTAGCTTCTACCACAACTTCCAGCCCCAAACACGATACTCTTAATCCTGCCACCTACCCGCATCAAAAATAGGGGGCACCATTCCTTGAAGAGGCTAAGGCCTATAACGAGTTTGTCATAACGTATTAGATTCTATTCGTCATGGTGATGTCATCACAGTTGCGGTTATACAAAATAACAGCAAAACTAATTTTAAACATCGATCTAATTCGATGTGTTTTACTTATATGATACCTAACGAAGAAAATTTGGGGTTTCCCAAAAGGTCATACTGTATGTACAGGGTGTAAAATCTTCTAAAGTCGTGTGTTGGATTCAGAGGAAAAGATGATTGTCTTGTCTACTAACTAAAACCGCCCTAAGCCACACACGCGTGGCTGTCTTGTTTAGACCGTCCTACCACGCATGCTCAGCTTCCTGTACTGTATGCACTGCACTATGTTCCGTGCATTGTAATTTTTTTAAAAATTCTATATGGTGTACTTATGCAATTTATGTGTTAAAGCAATGTTTATTTCCCAGATTTTACTTACATATTTATAGTAGGGCGGTCCGATAAATACTTAACCTGCAAAAGAAAATCGAAAATCTTGTGAGAGGTGACGATTTATTTCTGTACATAGTCTCCTTTTAGCTCGATGAATTTGACCCAGCAATGCTCCAACTTCATTAAGCCGTCTGAAAAATACGTTTTCTCGAGGTCTGCAACGTAGATTTCCGTGGCGACGATGACCAACTCATTAGACTTAAATTTCTGTAATTCTGCAATTCGACCAATTTCACCATGGCGACGGCCAAAGCATGAGTCGGTGCGTTGTCATGGTAAAAGAGCGTTTTTTCTTTCGCCAAATAGGGTCGTTTTCTCTGCAATTAGGCGTCGAATCGGCCCAATAATTCAACCTAATAGAGCCCGGTGACCATTTTGCCTTTCTACAGGCATTCGATGTAGATCACCCCTTATGAATACCAGAAAATAATGGCCAGCACCTTTCCGGTCAATAGGACAGTCTTCGCCTTCTATTTAGTCCATTCTTCGGGTGCCGCCCATTCTTTTCGACTATTCCTTGGTCTCAGGTGTGTATCAGTGGATCCACGTTTCGTCGACGGTTACGAAACAATGTAGAAACTCCTTCCGATTACGCTTACATAGCGTCAAACACTACTCTGAAGTGGTCTCACAAACAGATAGACCACTCCACAAACTCACTGTGAGTTGTTGTTGCTATCTTGCGCATCTTCAGTCGGTGGTCTGTGAATACAAGATCGTGGATTTTTGTCACGTTATCCTCCGTGGTAGCCGTTTTCGGGTCACCGAGACGTGGCTCATTAAAAACCGACGTGCGACCGGTGTGAAACCACCGTGCGTCACCGTACACAGTATCCAAGAGCTCTTTGATTTCCCTACACTCTTTCCCCTCTAAAAACATAAATCGAATCACCGACTAATATTGCTAAAATCCCGCTTTCACACGCGGTCAAAACAAAACTACTAACTACAAGTCCGATCCAATTCTCGATTCGGCTGAAACTTTGACATTTTGACATTAGACGTATACGAGAATGCATTATTCGATAATAGATTTCTCTTGCGATGGTGGCGCCATCGTGCGGTGAGACTTAGTACTTATCGGAACGCCTACGTACATAGAAACAGAGTCAAACCAGATCTCTTTTTTATTGTTTGTGGCATTTACTTTATAACCAGTCAGAAACAAAATTCAGCTAGGATCAGCATCGACGTCGAGAAGATTTAAGGACGATATTAAAAAATCGGTCTCGGACGTTTTCTAATTGGTTTTGCTATTTAGAAGTTCCTTATAAAAATTGTACCATAAAACTTATTTTAAAGTTT